CCACTTGACTCTTCATCTCTCACTGACATCTTGATACAGTGGTGACGGGAACAGTGAAGACCATGGTCCGGGGCCCAGGGGAAGGCCTCACTGTCACCATCAGTCTCCTTGGTGTCTACAAAACCGGAGGACTGGACCTGCCCTCTCCACCTAGTGGCACCTCTCTGAAGTTCTATGTGCCCTGCAGGCAGATGCCCCCCATGAAGAAAGGTAAGGCACACGGAACTGGGAGTGGGTACCCAGCACACTGAAGGTGTGGAGCTGTCAGATCTGACCAGGAAGATGATTTCATAAGGTCTTGATAACTTGAGCTCTTGATCCCACCCCTCCTCCTCTCCAGGAGCCAGTTATCTGCTGATGGGTCAGGTGGAAGAAAACAGAGGCCCCATCCTTCCTCCAGAGAGCTTCGTGGTTCTCTACAGGCCCAATCAGGACCAGATCCTCAATAACCTAAGCAAGAGGAAGTGTCCCTCCCAACCCAGGCCAGCTGCCTGATGTCCTAGCCAGATACAACCTCAGAGTGTGGTGCGCTTTTCCAAATAAATGTTTATTGACTCAGGACGGGGTTGTATCTGAGGTTCTATGGTTGGTGGGGTAGGAGGCGCATCTTGGATTTCAGAATACTTTTTCCTTTGGGTGGTACTAAAGACTGAACTCAGGAACTTATATACACTAGGCAAGTGCTTTATCACTGAACAACATCTTCAGCATTCAGAATATTCTTAAAAATGTATGACAGGGGCCAGGTGGGAGTGGTGGCACACACCTTTAATCCCAACACTCAGGAGGTACAGGCAGGTGAATCTCTTGTCAGTTCTAGGCCAACCTGGTCTACAGAGGATGTTCCAGGACAGCCAGGGCCACACAGAGAAATTAACCCTGTCTGAGAAAACAAAGAAACAAACAAGAACATACAGTAGGGGCATGCAAGATGGCTCAGTGGGTAAAGGTGCCTGCTGCCAAACCAAAAATTCACACTGTAAAAGGAGAGATCTCCTGTAAGGCATCCTCAAATGCACTGTGGTACACACATGAATACAAAACATTAATAAAAACAAAAGGAAACAAGTTAGGGGGCTGGAGAAATGGCTTAGCCAAGTGCTCACCGCACCAGCATGAGCCTCTGAGCTTGAGTCCCAGCACCCACATAAGTAACCAGGCATAGTGGTATGTATCCATGACCCCAGTGCTGGGCAGGCAGAGATACGGGGACCCCTGAGACTTGTCTAGCCCAGCGACCTTCAGTGTCAGTGAGAGACTCTGTGTCCAAACAAGGTTGACTGATGGGAGGGCTGAGGCTAAAGGCACTTGCCATTCAGCCTGATGATGTGAGTTCAATCTCTAGGACCCACATGGTGGAAAGAGAAGAGACTCTGACAAGTTGTCCTCTGACCTCCACACATGCACCATGCAATGTGCGCCTTAGCCAGTATGTCCCCACAAACATACATATATGCACCAAAAATAAAAGTTTTATACCAGGAGGTAGTGGCACATGCCTTTAATCCCAGTGCTTGGGAGGCAGAGGCAGGAGGATCTCTGTGAGTTTGAAGCCAGTATGGTCTATAGAATGAGTTCTCGAACAGCCAGAGAAACCCTGTCTCAAAAGTAAGTTAGATGTTGCCACCCCACTGCTCTGAGAATGGAGCCACCGAGATGCCAAGCCTGATGACCTGAGTTCTCTCGTCAGGACTCACATAGTGGAAGGGGGAGAACACACTCCTGCAAGGTGTCCTCAAATTCCACAAACACACTGTACTCACACAAATAAATAGGGCTGAAGAGATGGCTCAGCAGTTAAGACTCCTAGGTGCTCTTCCAGAGGATCAGAGTTCAATTCCCAGCACCCACATGGCAGCCCACAACCTTCTGTAACATTGGTTCCTGAGAATCTAACACCCTCACACAGACATGCAGGTGAAATACCAATGAATGAATGGATAAATAGATGTAAATTTAAACATGCTGAGGATTGTTCTCAAAATACAATCCAGGTTCCTGTGGGTCTTTGCTCTGGCTACTCTACAGCCTCCCCCCTGCCTGCCTCCCTCCCCCCTGCCTCCCCCCTGCCTGCCTCCCTACCCCCCCCCATCATTTACTGTTCTACTGGCACCTCATTGGTCCCCAGTCATTACTTTCTTCTTCTTAGTCATCGTCATTGTCTTCTTCTTCTCCTCCTCCTCTTTCTTTTCTTCTCTTCTCCTCCCCCTCCTCTTTTTTTTTTAAAACAGGGTCTCACCATCTTGCCCAGCATGGCTTTCAATCTATGATGTAGCCCAGGCTGGCCTTAAATTTGCAATCCTTAGTATTCCGATGGCAGGCAAGTGCCACTACGCCAGTTCTCTTTGTGCATTCTTCTCTCTCCCTCTTTTCTCTGTACATATGTGTATGCATATGTGTTTAGAGCCACCCTTGGGTGTTATCCTCAAAATCACAAAAATTGTAACTTTTAAAAATGATGTGTGTGTGTGTGAAAGAGGCCAAAAGAGGGTGTTGGATCCTCTGGAGTTGGAGTTATGGGTGATTTGTGAGCTGCCTAACATAGATGCTTAGGTCCTCTAGAAGAGCAACAAACTTTCTTAACCTCGGAACCATCTCTCCAGCCCCCTCCTCCATCCTCCCTGCCTCCATTTGGAAACAGAGCTGGACACTAACTTCAGGATTTCCTCCACAGGACCATAAAGATGCACTGTTATGCTCCAAATTTTTGTTTAAGGATTAGAACATGGGGTTTTGTGTCTGCAAATCATCCTCCTGGGTTAGTTCTGCTTCAAGATTCTGCAGTTCCTTCCATCTGGAATTCTTTCTCATAGATACATTTTGGATTCCTTCCTGAGTCTAATTAGATCTCTGCTCAAAGTTCATCTAATTCATTCCTTTGTCCTGGTCATATGGCAGATTATCTTTTTCTTTCTTTCTTTCTTTCTTTTTTTTTAAAAGATTTTCATTTAGAGAGTGTGTGTGTGTGTGTGTGTGTGTGTGTACACTGTAGCTGTCTTCAGACACACCAAAAAAGGGCATGAGATACCACTACAGATAGTTCTGAGCCACCATGTGGTTGCTGGGAATTGAACTCAGGACCTCTAGAAGAGCAGTCAGTGCTCTTAGTCTCTAAGCTGTCTCTCCAGCCCCAGATTATTTTTTAAGTACTAAAAATGCAACAGAAAACAAACATCCCTGGTTTTAGAGAGGACATTCTCCGGAGGAGAGATTAACAAAATAGGATGTCAAGCATCAAGAAATGTGCTATAAAGAAAGCAAGGCAAGGGTTGATGGCTCATGGGCTGGAGAGAAGGCTCCGTGGTCTGCTCTTCCAGAGGTCCTGAATTCGTTTTCCAGCAACCACATGGTGGCTCACAACCCTCTGTAATGGGGTCTGATGCCCTCTTCTGGCCTGCAGGTGTACATGCAGATAGAGCGCTCATATACATGTAAATAAATAAATCTAAAAAAAGAAAGAGAAAGAAAGTGGTGGTGCATTCCTTTAATCTCAGTACTCAAGAGGCAAAGGCAGGTGGATCTCTGATCCAGGCCAGCCTGGTCTATAGCCAGAGCCAGTCTTGAAAAATAAACAAACAAAACCAAGCAAAAGCATAATAAATCAGTTTTCAGGAAAAGTCTCATAAAACAACCACATTTAAATCTTTTAACATTTATTATTTATTATTTTTGGTTTTCTGAACAGGGTCTCTCTGTGTAGCACTGGCTGTCCTGGAACTCTTTTTGTAGAGTAGGTCCACCCACCTCTGCCTCCTGAGTGCTGGAATTAAAGGCGTGCACCACCCTGTCCAGCTTTACGTTCATCTAGTGAGGTGCACACAGGTGCACACTTACATATACATGCATGTGCATATATGCACACAGTTCCGCTCACGTGGACGTTGGTTCTCTCCTACCACCATGTGAGTCCTGAAGATTCAACTCAGGTCTTTAGGTTCCACACAAACTCCTTTACCAGGTGAGCCATCCAGTCCAGTGTTGCCGGTCCAAGTGTTGTTGGTTTCGATTTGATTTTGTTTTGAGATAGGGTCCAGTAAATTTTATTGAGGTTGCTTCCAGGAGCATAGGCAATTTAATAATGGTTATCTCAACGAAGAAAATGTCTCTCTTTTCCTAGCAACTATTAAGGACCTATAAGGGTAAGTACATTTTTAGTATTTTAGTGTTTTCTCTGCATGTATATGACCCATGTACTGGCAGAGGTCAAATGAGGGCGTCCGATTCCCTGAAAACTAGATAGTTATGAACCACTAGGTCAATGCTGGAAGCTAACCCTTCAGCACCTCCCCTCTTTTAAAAAAAAAAAAAAGTGTAACGGAAGCTGGTTAAGATTACTGCCTCATCCAATTCTGCTCTTACTGATTATTGACTTAATCTTAACGTTTCCCAGGCCCAAACAGGAAGGAAAGAAAAATGAATTTTTTAAAAAATCTACTAATGGATGACCTTAAAATAACCAGATAGATAAACAAACGCTAGGTAGTAGCCCGGTTCCACCTCTCCCATTTACTCTCAGAGAAGGAACCCAGAACACACAAAATTCTTGCCCAAGATCAAGCCAATCAGTGGTGCCCAGGGAGGCGTGTTTGGTCTTTGAAGAGCACCAATCAGCGTACGTTGGGGCGGAAAGGAGACAGCATCCACCAATGAGAGAGGCCGTACGGCGGAAGTGCATAAAGGAACTCTCGGGAAGATGGCGCCCCTAGTTTGGGCACAAGTTGGCTGGAGGATCCTTTGACCGCAAGGTGATTATCATAGTACAAGCGGCCATTCACAGGCGGAATTCCCGGCAGGGCACAGGCTGAGCTTAAGGAAGGGCCGCGGACACAATTAGGTGACCTGGAGATCAGGAACACTCAAGGGAGTGGAGTCGATGAGACCAGAGCGGGAAGACCCGGAAAAGGCGTGGCTAGAACCAGGGCAGGCTTACTGCGCCCCACACCAGAAGACCCGGATTGGGAAGCCACGGGGCGGGACAGAGGTTTAGCCACGTGGGCGTGGCCACTGCGGTGCGGTTTGGGGGCGGGACCTATAGGAACCTGGGGCCCAGCTGGCCGGAGAAAAGGTTTGGGAACCCGGGCCTGGGGCTGCGGGATCCACATCTAGCGGGGTTCCAAGGCAGCGGTGACATCAGGCCGAGCTCTGCTCATGATCTCACCCTGTCCTCTTTTCGTCCCTCGCGCCACTAGCCCTAAACTCTAAGACCCTCTTGTCCTCCTGAGCTCTGCCCTCGGATGTCCGACCGCCCAGAGCCTGCATGCGCCGTGGGGCGCCCCAGGACCAGGAGCTGGTGGGTCCAGGGGCCCCTGGGCGGGGGTCCCGGGGCTCCCCTCCTTCCTCAGGACCCGTTGTCCCGGTGCTGGTCTTTCCCCCGGATCTAGTATTCAGGGCAGACCAGAGAAGTGGACCCCGGCAGCTGCTGACCCTCTACAACCCCACGGGAACCGCGCTTCGCTTCCGAGGTGAAGAGACGGGCGCTTAGAGCTAGGGCTCTGGGGGTTGGTAGCAGGATATGGGAAGATTGTGTGGGCTGGAGGAATTAGACAAGAGGCCAGATGCCCATCTTTGGGTCTGAAAAAGAATCGTGTCCATCTCTGGGGTTGCTGACATAAAGAGGCCCCGGTGATACGTTAAACTTGCCTAAGATCTCTTCGCATACCTTTATCCGACAGTTCTGTGTACAGCACCTGCCAAGTATACAGTATTCGATGCAGAGGGATATGTGAAGCCTCAGTCCTGCATTGACATGTGAGTGGGGAGGTTGGGGAAGCAGTCAGGCGCCACGACCACCTGTTGGTATCTTTGGTCTGAGAATCTTTTCACCTGCTGACTGCAGTCACTCTGGAAAAAAGTTTCTGGGGAGGAGATCTGGATTTCCTAGGTTGGTTGCCTCTCACTTCCTTCCTCCCAATGGGCCAGTGTGATACGGCACGTGGCCCCCATCCCTGGTCACTATGACGTCCAGGACCGTTTCCGCATTGAGCTATCTGAGGAAGGGGCTGAGGGACGAGTGGTTGGAAGAAAAGACATCACCTCTGTTCTACGGGCCCCAGCGTATCCCCTGGAGCTTCAGGGACATTCTGAGCCAGCGCCCAACCCAGGGCCTCCTACGTGGACGGGACCAACCCCAGCCAGACATCTTCAGGAGAGTGAGTTGCACGGATTGTTTGCGTGCGTGCGAATGCTCATGCATGTACTCACATGTGCACCTCTGTTCACATTGGTAGAGGCTAGAGTTTGATTTTCCTCAATCTCTCCTCACCTTTATTTTTTTGAGACAGACTCTCACACTGACCCTAATATACATTCATTTGGCTAGGCTGGATGGCCAATGCCGAATCCAGAGTCCACCTGTCTCCACTACCCAAAGACTGGGATTATAGGGGCACACTTCCATGCCCAGGTTTTAAGTATGTTCTGGAGATCTGAACTCAGGTCTCCATGCTTGCATGATCAGCCCTTTACTGACTGAGTCATCTCTCCACAGGTCTTGTTTTTCTGCAGTACTAGGCATTGGCCTTGTACCTAAGGCATACCAAGCAAGCATTCTACCGCTGAGCAATAACCCCAGCCCTGCAGTCAGGACTCCTGAATTCTGTAGGGAGAGAGGAAGCAGTCACGTTACCCTAGAAATAAACTAAACTGGGTTTGAAGAAGTCTCTGGGTTGAGGTGTGATATGTGTGTGTGTGTGTGTGTGTGTGTGTGAGAGAGAGAGAGAGAATGTGTCTCTCACCCCCCTCTGTATGTGTGTGTGTATGTGTGTGTATGAGAGAGTATGTCTCTCTCTCTCTCTCTCTCTCTCTCTCTCTCTCTCTCTCTCTGTGCGTGCGTGCGTGCGTGCGTGCGTGCGTGCGTGCGTGCGTAGATGATCCTGGTTGAGGTTTTCTATCAGGTGAGAGGAAGAAGACTTCACAGTTGTCCTGGTCTCTAGCTTCTAATCAGAGGGACAAGCTCTTTTCCAGCTCCAACTGCAGTAACTCTTACCAGGTGCCAGCTATGTTCAGTTCAGTGAAAAACCTGTACTGAGCAGTCAGCTCTTGTGTGCTGGGTATGAGAGATAGAGGTCCCTGCCTGACAGTCCAGGACACTGAGAACACATTGTGGAAGTCAGGAGAAAGTGGGGGACCAGACGACAGAGCTTGTGGCTTCAGGACAGAGGTGCCAAGGAGAAGAGAACATTCCCAGGGTACCCTTAGGGGACAAAAGAATGTCAACACAAAGATGTGATAGCACAAGCCTGGGATACCACCATGTGGGGGTTTGCAAGCAAGGAATGAGGATTGCATGTTCAAAGCCAGCCTGGGCTACGTAGTAACAGTTTGAAAAACAGCCCTGTGAGAGTGTTGCGGAGTTAGTCCAGTTGCTAAAGTGTTTGCTATGTAGGAACAAGGACCCCCAAACTCAGTCCCCAGCAGTGATGACATGGTAGCAATGAGTTTGTAACTCCAGCTCTGAGGATACAGAGACAGGCCGATCCTTGGTTCCGGCTCACCAGTCATCTGGTCTGACAGACAAGTCCAGGTTCCATTGAGAGACTCCATTCCTCAAACACAAGTTAGATGGCACCTGTGGTGGATTTCTGGCCTCTGTACGTAGCACGCACCTGTACATGTACTCATCCACGTACACACTCAAGAAAGCTAGACATGCACGGTGGTGTACATCTGTAATCCCAGCACTTAGGTTGGGGGGGAGGCAGGAGGATCAGAAATTCAAGACCCATTCTTGGATACATAATGAGTTTGGGGCCATCCTAGACTACATGCATGTGTGTCCCTGTTTCTAAATAAATAAATAGTATATGAGTAAGCCCCACACAAAGTAATTTCATCTTCCCTGTTCATGCTGATCCCTGAGAGGCCTTGGGGTGCTCATCTCCCTCCTTTTGCAGGTGCTCCCCAGCAGCTGGCCACCAGCTCCTTCCTGCTCTTCTTGCTGACAGGCGTCATCTCTGTGGCCTTCCTGCTTCTGCCACTGCAGGATGAACTTGGCAGCCAGCTGCCTCAGGTCCTACATGTGTCCCTGGGACAGAAGCTGGTCGCCGCCTACGTCTTAGGTGAGCACCGTAGAGGAGCACGGGGCCCACTTCCAGAGAAAGGACAGGAAGAGGAAGGCTCATACATGGAATCTCTTTCTTTTTCCACCTTCAGGCCTCCTCACCATGGTGTTCCTCCGGACCTGAGCTCTTAGCCAAACCCACTGAACCCACCCTGTCCTTGGCAGGCAGGGACCTAAGGCAGCCACTGTGACGATAGCACCTTGCCCCTCCTCTCTCCCTTCTGCCCATCCATTGACTGTCAGCCTCCCCACAACAAACACCCAGGGATTTATACTCATTTTCCAAGTTGAATAAAATAAAGTTTAAAATCAAAATGAGAAACGTAGGATGCTTACCCCCAGCTTCTCACTTCTTGTTTAATGGTGTATTTGTGTGCACGTGCATATGGCTGCACGCACTCGCACGTAAGCCTGCACACCAGAGGTCAGGAGACAACTTTCAGAGACGGTTCTCTTCTGTCTTGTGGATTCCAGGTACAGAGTCCAGGTCATCAGACTTGGTGGCAAATGCCTTGACTCACTGAGCCTTAAGTTTTGAGGCCAGGGGTCTCAACGATTGACTAGGAACAGTGAGCCAGGCGTCTGCTTGTCTCCACCTCCCCGGCACTCAGGTTACACATTCATGTAGCTGCACCATTAGTTATGGACTTGACAGACTCCAGAATGAGCGGGGAGACGGGCTGTGTGGCCTCCAGAGGAGGATTATACTGATTAGGTTATTGGGATGGAAAACCCGCCCTGTATGTCTGCCATATCATTTCATGGGTTTGGTCCGGGAATGAATGAAAGGCAGGAGCGGAAACTGGGCACCCGCACTCATTACCCTCGCCTGACGAGATGTCATGTGACCAGCTGGGTCAAGCTGCTGCTGCTGCTTTAACTTCCAGGATGGATGGTCCCTTGAACTGTGGGCTAGAACCTGTTCTTCCTTAGGTTGCTTTTGGTTGTGTATTTTATCACAGCAACAGCAAAGGAACTAAGACAGTGGAGTCTGGGGATCTGAGCTCATCCTCTGGATTTCGTGGCCGGCACAGTAATGACGGAAGCATCTCCCCACCTCTCCCCACTTTTTACCTTTTAAAAGCATTTCTAATTTCTTTTTTTTTTTTTTTTTTTTTGAGACAGAGTTTCTCTGTGTAGCCCTGGCTGTCCTGGAACTCACTCTGTAGACCAGACTAGCCTCAAACTCAGAAATCCGCCTGTCTCTGCCTCCCAAGTGCTGGGATTAAAGGTGTGTGCCACCACTGCCCGGTGAATTTCTAATTTCTTAAAAAGGATTTCTTTTTATGTGTGGGAGTGTTTTGCTTGCCCGTATGTATGTGTACTACATACATGCCTGGTGCCTTGCAGAGCTCAGAAGAGGGTATTAGATTTCCTGGAATGGAATTACAGGTGGTTGAGGACTACCATGTTGCTGCTGGGAACTAAACTTGGTCATCTGTAAGAGCAACCAGTGTTCTTAACCATTGAGCCATCTCTCCAGTGCTACTGCCCCACCCCTATCCTGATTCCCAGACAGCCTCTGGTTCCTCCCACTTCCAGGGATCCAGGGAAAGTTAAAGGCCAGCGTGGGTAAATTAGTTAGACTGTGTCTCAAAATAAAAGCCAAAAGGAGGGGTAGGCCCAGTGTGGCGGCACAGGCAAAGGCAGGTGGATCTCTGAATTTTGGGCCAACCTGGTCTACATAGTTTCAGACCAGCCAGGGCTATGTTAGGATGTAGCTCATCAATAGAACACTTGCCTGGTGTAGGTGAGTCCCTAGCTTCAGTTCCTGTTACTGAAGGAAAAAGAACCCCACCCCCCAATGCATGTACACACACACACACACACACAGACACGCATACACAGACACGCACACACCATTAGAACTGGGTCTATGGCTCAGTAGTTGGGCAGTTTTCAGCATATTTAAGACCTCCGGTTCCAATCTAAGCACCACAAAGATTTAAAAAAAAATCTCCTTTACTCAAACAACAGAAATCTGCCCTTCAGCCAGTATTCCTAGCCCACAAGCAACATCTAATCAAACCTGCTATCGTCTTAGTTGTCACTGTGACTATATCTGAAATCAACTAAAACAACTAGGCCTGTCTGTAAGGGTTTTCTTGATTGGATCAGTTGAAGCCAGAAGGCCCATCCTAATCTGGGCCACACCTGATGACAAGTCCACATGAAAGGACACGGGAAGGAAGCGTCTGCTCGTTGCCTGCTTGCCTTCGTGCTATCTCTGCAATGTTCATGTATCCTGTTGCCAAGGCATTCCTTCACGGGACTAGCACCCACTTCTTTGGGATTCCAGCATGGACTGAAGGCCAGCAGCTCTCCAGGAATCCTTGAGGCCTCCAGCAGCCGACTGGGCCTCCTGAGATATCCAGCCTTGGCCATCTCAATAACTCTCGGATCCTTGGTCTCTCCTCCAGGAGACAGCCATTGTTGGACTACCCAGACCACAGCCTGTGATCCACTCTACCAGGTCCTCCCCACTTTTTGCATAGATGTGCATTGTATCAGTTCTGCTCCTTAGAGAACTCCGATCCTTACACTATAACAACCCAGTTTGAAGCAGACAGAGCCGCTTTGCAAGGCTGTCCACATGCCATCATGCCTTCCACAGGGTATTTTGCTGACTTTGGGACCCACCCCCTTTTTTTCTTTTCTTACATTTTCTTTTCTTTTCCATTTTCTCTCTCTTCCTTCCTTCCTTCCTTCCTTCCTTCCTTTCTTTCTTTCTTTCTTTCTTTCTTTCTTTCTTTCTTTCTTCCTTTCTTTCCTTCTTTCTTTCTTTTTTTTGAGACAAGCCCATTCCTCGCCCATCCCTCTAGCTCAGGCTGGTCTTGAACTTCTCACCCTCCTCCTGCCTTACCCCTTTAAGTAGGCTTTTGAAAATGCCTACCTCACTGTCATTGTTTTTAACATTTATTTGTTTTGGGGGAAGGGAGTTGGCAAAAGCATTCCATGACCTTCAAGTGAAGGTCAGACGACAGTCTGTGGGACTCCAACCTCTACTTCTGCCAGTTGCAGAGATCAGACTCAGGTCATCAGGCTTGGTGGCAGGCATCTTTATTCACTGGATCATCTTGACAGCCCAGATCCATTTTGTTTGTTTATTCTGTTTTGTTTTGTGAGAGAATGTCATGTAGCCGAGGCTAGTCTCTACTTGTTATATAGCTGGGGTAACCTGGAACCCTCAATCCTCCTGCTTCCAGCTCCTGAGTGCTGGGATTAGAGGCATGTATCACTACATCCCTCATTTACGCAGTGCTAGGGAAGAAACACAGAATCCTGTGTGCAGTGGGCAAGCGCCAAAGCAATTGGGCTGCATCCTCAGCCCTCTTCGTTGTTTTTAGGCTCTTTTTAAAAATTTAATTATAAAAAATATATGTCTGTTGTGTTAGTCTGAGTATGCATGTATGTGTACCATGTGCAAGCAGCTACTCAGCAGAGCCAGAAGATCATGTCAGCTCTCCTGGGGGACTGGAGTCACAGGTGGTGGTGAGTTGCCAGATGTGGTGCTGGGAACTGAGCTCTACTACTCTGAAAGAACAGTAAAAGCTCTTTAGCGCTGAAGCCATCTCTCCAGCTCCAGGCTAGCCCTTCTTTGTGACCTCAGCTCTCATGGATCAGGGACCCCAGGGCTCCCGCAAGGAGGGTGGCAAATGCAAGGCCTGACAGGACCTCACTCTGTGTGGTAGAGACTGAAGCCAGTGGAAAACGGGGTCTTCAGAAGGCATCGTCTGCTCTGCTTGCCCTCCTTCAGGGGCAGAGAAGGGGTGGAGGAGGGGGGACGGGGGACATCGGACAGCTAGTTGATTTGCAACTGAGAATCAGCAAGATAACAGGACAGATCCAGTCTGCTGCACTGATGAATGTCATCAGTTTCCCTGGCTTGGCTCTGGGGGCTTTAGGACTTTCACACTATCCTGGCAACCTGTGTGTGTCTGCACTTGTGTGTGGAGGTGCATGTTCAGTTTGTGTGTGTGTGTGTGTGTGTGTGTGTGTGTGTGTGTGCATGTAGAGGTCAGAGGTCAACCTGAGGTATCGTCTCAGTGCTCTCAGCCTTATTTTTATTTTATTTAAAATTACACTTATTTATTTACTTATTTATTTATATATTCATTTATTTACAGGATGGAGCATACACGAGTCCCACAGTCTGTGTGTGGAGCTCAGAGGACAACTTGCAGGAGTTGCTTTCTCCTCCCACCATCTGGACCCCAGGGATTGAACTCGGGTCCTTGGGCTTGGCAGCAATCGCCTTTACCCACTGAGTCATCCTTCTGGCTCCACCATCCTATTTTTGAGACGAAGTCTCTCCTTTACCTGGAGCTTGCTGATTTGGCCAGGCTGGCTGTCCAGCAAGCTCAGGAGATCCTCCCACTCCCACCCACCCTGCTCCTCGCCACAGTGAAGGGATCACAGGCATAAGTCACTGAAACCAGGTTTTCATTTGGCTGCTGGGTATCAGAGCCAGGTCTTCGTGCTTGGATTCGAGCACTTTACTGCCTGAGCCATCTCTCCCGCTTCCTCACGAGAATTCTTGTCTCTCCTGTGCCCCAGAGGCCTGCTCTGGGGCATGGCCTCATAAAGTACACAGAATGAGTCCAAAGTCTGTGCCAGGAGACGGGGGTGGGGAGCTCCTGCAAACCCCTCTTTCCAAGTTACCTGTGCGGTTGAGATTCTCCACAGGTTGATGATGCTTGCCTCTGCCTCTCAAGCTTTTGTATTAAAGTTGTGTACCACCATGCCTGGCTATTTATAAAAAATTTTTAATATTGGTTTTTATTTCATTATTTGTTTGTATGTGCCACATGTGTGTGGTAGGGTGATGGTGGGGACCAAAAGAAGGCCTCAGATCCCCACTCCCATCTTTTCTTTTTTAAAAAGATTTATTTATTTAATGTATGAGTATACTGTAGCTGTCTTCAGACAAACCAGAAATGGGCATCAGATCCCATTACAGATGGTTGTGAGCCACCATGTGGTTGCTGGGAATTGAACTCAGGACCACTAGAAGAGCAGCCAGTGCTCTTAACCACTGAGCCATCTCTCCAGCCCCCTCTCCCATCTTTTCTATTGCACCACAACCAAGTCAACTTATAAGACAGAGCATTTATTCTGGGCTTCTAAACTTAGAGGGTTAAAGTTCACAATGGTAGAGCAGAGAGAACAGGTAAGAGAGGGCTGGAGCGGCAGCCAAGAGCTCAGAGCAGAGAGCACCCTGAGAATGGCATTTGTCATGTTGATACCTCAGATCCCACTGCAGTGACACACCTCTGTGGCAAACAGCCACTAACTCAAGACAAGGCTTCAAACACCTG